TAATCAACTCTTGAAACTGCAATCGACTATTTCGTCGGCGCGGGCGAGGATTACGAGTATATTATTTAGTTTAGCGCTTTATCACTTCAGCGTGCACCAATTATCACAAGCAAAATGATAGTTAAGCCGTAAGAGAATCGATCATTCATTCTTTACCATTTCATCAAAAATCTGAAACGTATTATAGTGCATGCAACAGTAAAAATATAAAAGCTGACTATGATGAAGACTGACCTATTTGTGCTGCTACACTGCAACACTTCTTTACCACGTAACAATTAAATTCTCTGAGTTTGAACATATTATTACGACTAAAATTTATTTCACATTTTTAATTTCATTTAAAACATTTTTGATTAGCACTACTTTTTTATAATTTAAGAGCGACAAACAGACTATCAGTTCACATGATAGCGTCTGCTGTAGTCCATACACATCAACAACCACCTTACAAGGCTTCAGATGAATTGTCACCTCTGACGATTAGGAGGCAGGAAAGGAATCTTATCAGCTAGAAGAGCAATCAATAACTGAATTGTTTTTTAGCCGAGTTCAGGAGTAACAATAAAAGTCAATAATAAATAAACAATATTGTGACAGGTGTCCATTAAAAGCTATAGGCTAGCTATATCAATTTTTATATCTTTCTTATCTTGCTTTATAAAATTTTGTTGCATCATCAGTGGTATGAAATGTGTTATGTGAAATATGTGATCGAGCTTAAATAGTCCACTGCTAGACGTGAGTCTCATCCACAGAGCAAATACAAAGAGGTGTTGTAATTAGATTTCACTATGTAACAACGCATGACAATTTGCGGGGTGAGAGTATATTAAGCCCCGCCCACTTTACTATTTTCCATCTACCGATAAATAGTAAAACTACTCGAATCGTTCCATATCGATGTTACAATGTAGTTTAGCTACCCTTTGTAGGTATTTGTTTCGCGGGCTCTTCTCTCCAGTAGGGAGGATTTGCCGTATTAAGCGCAAGATGTTACAAATGTCAGCGTAATTATATAAACAATACACTAATGATAGGTACGGACTGCGAAACTAGAAAGAATTCAAATCCTTCATTCAACTACTGTCTTTCTACTTTTTTAATGGGTAAATGCCTAAGCATAGATACCCGTTTCACGGGGCACGGACGGTTTACGTCGGAATTGTACCAACTAAAACCCTATGACAGTGGTGAGAATAGCGTGGGTTGCTGCCGCCCGGAGCTGGCTTTTCATTTAAACAGTTATGGCGGGGAGCTGACTTTTCTTTCCCAAAATGATGCCTCTTATAATCGGCCACCCGGAGCCATGCCATGTTATTAAAATAAAAACCCTCTTAAATATGGAAAGGAAAAAAGGAATGCTACGTTACTGCCCCATCCATGCCCCATTCGCGGCATATTGTAATGGTTACGTAAATAGAGGACAACTACTATCATAATAATTTTTGTACCATATTTATCTTAGCAAGTCGTGTGTCGCTTCTACCTACACAGCTTATATCTCAATCTGCGTAACGGACTCCCCAGACCTTATGGTACATGGCCAAAGCCATGATACAAGGAAAGCGCTTAAAATCAAGGGATCTGACTATCGATCGAGAAGCGAATCCGTTATATAGATTCGCCGCTGACGCTTGCTAACGGACGGACCACGGGCTCTTCTAGTGCCTCCTAGAGGCTCCTAGACGGCGATTGGTGCTCCACCAAAATAACACTCCCTCTCTCCCTCAACTCTACCGCGATGCAAAGATTGGACGGTTAACTCTTTTTCACTTTAATATTATTAATTTTGTGCAGTGTAGAGTGTTAGTGTAGATTTTATATCTGTAGGAGTATTACTTCCCTACGACTTAAATTACTTCAAACAGTATGCAGGTACATAAATTGTCTACACATATATATATCGCTTTGTTATAGCTGACTTGTAGGTGTAACTGGTCACAAACTCATAAGAACATATGATTCAAATTGTTTTGTTACACACATTAAAATAATAATACAAACAGTGGCGAACAGAGATTCATAGCCTTTGCTTATACACAATCAACAATATCATTTGATTACTAGCTTTTAAACGAAGCGATCAACGCAATTATTCATCTGCGATGTTTGGATTGTAAGTACCAATTCAAAATTAATTAATTGTATATTATTGTAAATTAGCTGCAGTAGGTTAAACTTAAATGAGCCGTGGGAACTGGGATACGCAAACAACCCCAATCCATCCTAGCTAGCTCAACTCGAAATACAAAATTTTAAGAGTAGATTTACAACGTGATATATACATTGAAGCAGTGCGGTGGAGTTTTCTCTGTTCTTTTTCAGCGATCCTAATCCTAACACTTTTGTGTCGCTATGGGTACTTTGGGATTTAGAAGACAGAAATTATATTTTTCAAAGGTACTACATATATGGCATTAAATACCGAAGGCTCCTTACACTTCGCTTCTTGGTACGAATAATGTGACTAAAAGTAAAGTTACAGTCTATTAACAGGCGTCTCGTCATTTCTGAAAGACTTTTGCAGAGCTGCAGCTATATTATGGTTGTAGCACGAATACGTCGGCTCGACCGGGGTGGGATCACGCTCTCACAGAATACCAGCGTAAAATAGCAGTTTATCACTGCTGTGTTTCGTATCGTGAGTGTATAGAAGCGGAGACCCTTTTTACTGGAAACAAGACATTACATCTTAGTCCTCAGGGGTGACAACGCATATGCATTTTGATTCTTTATTGAGGATAAATGTAGATGTCTATGGACCACAACATCCACTTACCATCAGGTGGACTGTGTGCTCTATAATTGACATTATAGAATATTCTATAAAAAAGATATGCAGTCTTTTCTCAGATATGCAGGTTTTCTAAAAATGTTTTTCTTTACCGACGAGTTAGTAGTAAATCGGCACTTAAAATTGCAATTAACTATTTCATTTTTACCGGTGCTAAAAGAACCCGGGTCGCGTTTCGTGAACACAGCTTAGTCCCTAAGCTACCACGGCTTTTAAGTCGCTAAACAGAATTAGTGTTAATAGTTTTAAAACTAAACCGTGTACATTATCATCATAGCTCTAATTTTAATCATTTTTTTTAATAAAACTGACATGCCATATAAACTTAAGTTCATAGGATGGTAAGAAGCTACTGCAGTCCATAGACACCTGCAGCCAACTTCAAACAAGGATGACTACAGATGTGTTGTCACCTCTGAGGACTAAGATGGAATGTCTCACAGCCTGTAACGAGACTAGCTCTATATATCCTGCAGACTAGATTACAGCAGTACAGGCACTGTTCTTTGGCAGCAATATTCGTTAAGATGGCGGTGCCTAACCAGAGGGACTTTTAGGTAGAAAAAGAGTTCTACCACTAGCACCTGGTAAAAATCTAATAAACCATCCGATTGTTTATTTTTAATGCGAGATTTAAAAAAATAAACCTATTGAATGTAAGTCTGAATCGCGCGTCAAGCATGGACTTATTCTTTTCTTGCATAATTCGAGTTCTCGTATAACTTGTTATCGATAGTGTTGTTAAAACAAGTTGTTATTAATGTCGATAGTAATGGTTACCGTCTGTAGACACTGACAATTTGTTTATTGACAATTCACATATAAAGTTAATAACTTTACAGGGGGTTTGTTATGTCAGTAGCGATGTGGGTATATAAGAAATTCATGGGGCTGCCAAGTTCGTCAACCTACATGGACAGACAACCTGCTGATGAAATTACGCAAAATAATGTGCTGAAACATTATTTTCTGAGAGAGTGAATAATTAATTAGTACTTAGATATTGTTAAACGAGAATGCAAAGTAATGTCGTAGGTACTATAGTAAAGTTTAAGTACTTTTTTAAATATTTCAAATGTCACAATCGTTACCTGATTTCGTTTTCAAATAAATTGAATCATTCATATTTTAAGATTCAATATAACTTATTTATAAAACAGTATTTTTACTACTAATTTCACAATTTATCAAGTTATTATTAAAAAATATAGAATTATTTTTAATGTTATTCAACTTATTAGTATAATCTATAAAGTAGAATAAATAATTACTTTGTTGTTTATATTTCAATTAAACAATATTTATTTTTCAATGTGAAACAAAAATGTGTAAAGGAATACCTTATATTGTGATACCCGGTTGATAAAGTATTTCTAGAATGAAATAATTATATTGTGAAATATTTAGTTGTTCCTAGGTGTAATATGTAAATTAAAATATAAAATAGTTATACTTTAAATTATGGTACGAACGTAAACAATATTTGGGTGAAGCTAACTACACTTATTTAAGAGTTATTTAAGTAATAGTTAAAAAATTCTAATGTATGTATTTTAGTATACAATTTGTTATTTTAAGAAATTTTGAATTGAAAATATTTTCTTCTTTATCAGTCAGTAAAGTGTGGAGGATTTGTCTTCATCACCACGCCAACGTCATCATACGGTATTTCTAAACAAGAATCTTGTAGCTAATAGCTAATCATTTTTTACATTCGTAGAACATTGGAGCAGTTTACACAAGGACCAATTACTATCTTAGATTTGTAAATAAACGATGAAAGTGAACTTTTTTTTTAAAGCAACACAACTGAATAAGGCATAATCGTGGGTAATCACTAATCAGCATCAATCGACTTTACGCCGCTGCATCTAACTAGCGTTTACGAGTTCGAAGTTATTAAAACTAGGAGGTATTTTCCCATCGATTATCGAATTAAGGCGGTGTTTACAGACTTTTCTACGATGCCAGATTGATTGTCGGTCCTACTATGTTGATATGTATAATGCACTTATCAAAATATTATGTCAGTCAGAGCAAACAACGTTTGTAGTATTAGAGAAAAACAAACGAATATTGATATCGATAGTTTATTTTAAAGAAATTAAACATAATAATCAATCAAAGTTCTAATAATCAATTATTTAGGTATTACTGGGAACTTCAACCAGTCTAAAAGAGAACAATAATAGAATATTATAAATTAAAGGATAAAGTTGTTGCATATTTTACATCGGCACTCTCGCAAAGCTTTACCCAGTCGATGACATTGACTTGGACGTGAAGGTGCACGTTCATTCACCCAGCTGTACCCGCACTGAAAATATATTAAAAAGTTAAAAGGAAAAGGATTTACTAACGATAATAACGGTCTTTCAATCGGCTTTAAAAAAAATGTAGGTTCTCAATTCGTCGGTACATGTTTTCTATATTATGTTTAGCGATAATTCTTTAACACGTTTGTAATATTTAAGGGCTTCTTTTATTTTTCTTTCACCACACACGGGATATAAGCGTAAAATAGCAACATAATGTTACTGTGGTGAATGACAAGAACCGGAGAGCCTTTTCACTGGTGAAGAGGCACTCCATCTTAGTTCTAAGGTGTGGAAACATATCTGCAACTTGATTCTTAATCGAGAATAGTTACATCTATTCAATTCTCGATTAAGGATCTATGGTTCACAATATTCACTGGTACTTAAATGGCAACATTGGAAAATTGTAGTTTTGTTTCGTCACAATTACTTATATAAAAATAATAATATTAGAAATTTTATTAAGTTAGAGTTATTTATCAAAACAGTTTTAATTTAATAAAATGTTTTTAAATGAAAAATGTGTTGTGATTGATATTGCTTTTTGAATATTTATAACATAAAAGCTTACAAAACCGCTAATGGTCGTAAAGGTAAGGGGTAACTGAAATCAATGCTCTCAATGAACCAACTTAAATGACACAGGAAAAACAAAATATAAATAAGTAGTAAATTTAAAAAAAATATGTCAGGAAAGTCCTTACAGATATAGCCATCTGCTTGCAGTATAGTTTTCTTGCGCTAGGCTTGACAAATCTAGCTAGTAATGCCCACGCCCGCCCTGCTTGCTTGTCTATTTTGAGGGCTTCCACCGCGCATGCAATTGCATTTGAAACAGCTGGAGTTTCCCCTCTCCACTGGGGCGCATTTTTGGCTTCTTCTTTCGTTGACTGTGAAAAATAAGAACGATTGCTGATAACTTTTGACAAGTATAAATATATAATATAATTACTGCCGCTATTGAGTATGTAAATAAAATATAATAACATTTAAACGCTTGTTGAATTCTGTTTTGTGTTTATAATTATCTCTAGACGAACCAGCATACAGGTCACCTGATTATAATACTTTTATAGACAGAATCTTCTCCAATTATTTTCATTACCTAACAGTAAGTGGTGGTTTGTTGACTTCCCTGAAAACAAAAATGAAAATCACCCAAAAAAAAAAATTGGTGGGCAGAGGATATGTTTTAAATTTAAATAATTAACCAATTGGTATATATTGGCAGGTAAAATTGGTATTTTACCTAAATTGATCAGTGCAAAAGGTTGTTGAGAAGTAACTGAATGCTTGTCAGTAAATAAAGAACAGAACGTATTTTTATGGATTCTATCGCGTTTAATTTAAGTTTTTAATTCCCGACGTTTCGGGTGCTTTACAGCACCCATTGTCACGGGGGGGGGGGGCACTGAGGTGTGAATATTATATTTTTTGGTCCGATTTACGCAGAATGAGCTTACGGTATTTTGAAGTCTTGCAGTGGTATGCTTGGGTTTGGATTTAATTTTATTAATTATAAAGCAAGATAAAGCAAACCGTGTAGTGGCGGTTAAGAATAACCACTACACCATATCTTCCCGTGGGTATCGTAAAAGGCGACAAAGGGAAACAGGCAGGAGATGGGCAGCAGCATCTTCCTGATAATAGCAGAATTACAATAAAAAACTGCGGTTGCCAACCCGCTCGCCAAGCGTGGCAACTATGACAAATACCCCCCTATGATGAGTGTAACAAAGAGACGGCCCCCAGTCCCTGGCGGGCCCGCTATTACAACGCGTTAACAACGTTGTAAAGATTGAGAGTATGTCGACGAGGGTTGTGTACCTTATACTCAGAATCACCAAACGGTATTCGCTGAAGGTCATACAGGTTTACGCACCAACCTCGGCACACCCCGATGAGGAGGTGGAGGAAATGTATGAGGATATCTCTAGAGCCATGCATTCCTCCAAAACCCAATATACGGTGTTAATGGGAGACTTCAATGCAAAACCAGGCACAAGAGAGAACGGTGAGCTGAAAGTAGGGAAATTTGGAATAGGGCAACGGAACCCAAGGGGCCAGCAGCGGGCCGACTTCACGGAGAAAGAGGGACTCTTTATGATGAACTCTTTCTTCCAGAAGCGGCCCCACAGGAAGTGGACCTGGTCGAGCCCCGACGGTTCGACAAAAAATGAGATTGACTTCATTATGACGACCAGACGACAACTGTTCAGTGATGTCTCCGTGATCGCGAGGGTGAAAACTGGTAGCGATCACTGGATGGTATGTTAAGTTGGAGAGGTCTCGTCTAATGAAGTCAACGCTCCGTCCCCCTCGTGCTCTGTTCCAAAGTCCCGAAACCTTTCAGCTCGAGTTACAAAACCGTTTTCAGTGCATAGAAGACTGCAATGAAGTGGACGATATGAATGCCAAGCTCGTTTGAACCGCAGAAGAACACAAAATTCTCCGATCACACTCATAATCTCATGGCTGTTAGACGGGAGATGAAGCTACATTCTTCAACAGATTTGACAGCATACAGGCAACTGATCAGACAGATCTCCAAATGCATGCGGCGGGACTTACGCAACTTCAATACAGCTTGTATTGAAGAAGAGATCTAGCGGACCCATGGCTCCAAAATCTTTGCCAGAGATCTGTCTGCCAGAAAGAGCCAACTGTCGAAGTTGAAGACCGAGTGTGGCAGCATCGTTTCCGGGGCACCTGAGATTTTGAGTAAGATTGAGAGGTTCTATGGGCAGCTGTACACGTCATCGTTGGAGCAAGTGTGAGTAACGATCCAAGAGCGAGTCTTATCCGACACTATTCCGAAGATATCCCGGACGTCAGTCTGAGCGAGATTAGAATGGCTCTCCAGCACCTTAAAAACGGCAAGGCCCCAGGCGAGGATGGAATTACGGCGGAGCTTCTGAAAGCGGGTGGAAAACCGGTACTTGAAGTCCTTCAGAAGATCTTTAACCGTCCTCCATGGTGGCATTAAACCGGAGGCGTGGAGCAGAAGTCCGGTGGTCTTGTTCTTCACGAAAGGTGACAACGCCCTCTTGAAGAACTACAGACCGATTTCTCTTCTGAGCCGCGTCTACGTGCTGTTTTCGAGAGTCATTACGAATCATCTCGCGCACAGACTTGACGACTTACAGCCTCCCGAACAAGCCGGTTTCCGAAAGGGCTTTAGCACCATAGACCACATACATATCCTTCGGCAAGTTGTACAGAAGTCCGAGGAGTACAATTTGCCACTATGTCTGGCGTATACGGAATATGAGAAAGCCTTTGATTCCGTCGAAATTTGGGCGGTGCTGCAGTTCCTTTATCGGTGCCAAGTTGATTGTCGGTATATCGAAGTTTTGAAGTGCTTGTACAGTAGAGCTACGATGGCTATCCGAGTACAGAACCAGAGTACGAAACCTATCCAATTGCAGAGAGGTGTTAGACATGGTGACGTGATATCCCCGAAACTCTTCACCGCTGCATTGGAAGACGTTTTCAAGCTTCTGGGCTGGAAAGGATACTGTATCAACATCAATGGCGAGTACATCACTCACCTTCAATTTGCCGACGATATAGTCCTTATGACAGAATCGCTGGAGGATCTAAGCACCATGCTCAATGACCTCAATAGTGTCTCCCAACGGATAGGTCTTAAGATGAACATGGACAAAACAAAGATCATGTTCATTGTCCATGTCACACCTATGCCGGTAGTTGTTGGGTGTTTACCTGGGACAAATAGTCCGACTGGGTAAGTCCAACTTCGACCGAGAGGTCAATCGACGGATTAAACTCGGCTGGGCAGCGTTCGGGAAACTACGACACATCTCGTTAGACATACCTCAAAACCTTAAAACGAAATTGTAAAACCGAGTACAACAGAGGTCACGCTCACGTCTAGTTCTGCGATCGTCAATCCCTTGCCAAGCGTGACGCTCAAGGCAAATCCTCACTATATCGGGAGAGATCCTTCCATGTTCAGCGGTTTAAAGATTTAAAACTACGTCCGGTAGCTTGGGGACTAGGAGTTTGCCGTAAAATTTCACAGTGCGCTAGCAACCCAGGTCCGTCCTCCACGGGCACCCGTGAAATAGTTAATTTTGTAAGTAGGTATGTATGTGTGTAGGGCGTGTACGAAGTGTAGGACGACCCCCCACGAGATGGAGTGACGACCTGGTAAGACATGCAGCAAGTCGATGGATGCAGGTGGCTCAGGACCGTGCTTTGTGGCATTCCTTGGGGGAGGGCTATGTTCAGCAGTGGACTTATGAAAGGCCGTAATGATGAATGATGATAAAGCAAGATGGCAGCACCCATCCATCTTCTGTATTGAAATTATGATGCTTTTTAATTTCAATAGCCTCGCGAGTCATCCTTGGTAGAAATCAGCGTTCTTTTGCAAGGATTTTTGTACTATTAAATCAAATGTAATGGCGGGGACGATCTTGAACATGTTCACAAACTGCAGACAGAAATTCAGTTTGTGACTCAAGTGACTTCAAGTCAGCTATTCGAGAATTAAAAAGCTAAATTAAACGCGATAGAATCCGTAAAAAATAGTTTCATTCAATGTGTAGTCTTCGCGTAAATATAACAAATCATTAATTAAATATAAGCTAAAATTAAATGTAACAAAATCTGCAAAATTTCATTTCGTAGATATAATATTCTCCCAACCGAATTTCGGTCACGGCGGTCAGTTTCGTGTAAAGGATTATAGCGCCTAAGTGCATGCCGCAAGTACAGGTGCACTCTATTCCCTTACTCTCGTAGTCCGAGGGGAAGGTAATTCGACACGACCGGAGAGAGATCAGGCGCAGGACCAACGGCTTTACGTGTTTTCCGAGGCACGGCGGTGAAACACCGCCAACTTCCTGACTCCGGGCTGCAACTGAGAATTTCTTGATGGAAAAACCGAATAATTGATATTGGCCCGACCCGAAAATCGAACCCAGGGCTGTCAACTTCTATTAAAAATGCCTTTTTATACCATATCTTAGAAGTGTATAGGCCACCTTACTGTTGTAAGCTTACTCTAATTTCTCTCAGTTCTTACCGTAATCCAATATTCAGCGAGCGCCATCCAAGCGTAAGCGCTGGGCTGACGACGCAGCAGTTCCACCAGCACAGGACGGCAATGCTCTGTACTGCGACTCAGCATCGATAACAGTATACTATGTCATGGGTAAAGGAATTTATTCGTCTTTTTTAATCAAATTTATCTTTCTCTATCAAGTTTGGTGGTACATATTATATTTATATTAATGCCAAGTTGGGGCGGTTCGGTAGCGAAGTGGATTAGCATTTAGTGGAACCGCGTGAAAAAATAAAATACAAAATATTTTTTTTTTATAAAACTGTCCACCTGATGGTTAAGTGACTAATACAGCTCATGGACGCCTGCAACCAATTTCAAATAAAGAAGGTTACAAATGTGTAGACACCTCTGATCGCTAAATTGGAATGCCTCACACGCCTTTTCCTCTTTTTTGTAGATGTTACTCCCACACTAGGATCTTTTCGGATGCAGTTTACAAACATAAATTGCACAAGGACAAACATCCAGACCCGGAACAATTATTTGTAGGCTGTACAAATATTTCTTCCGTGTGGGTTTCGATCCACGGCACCACACGAAGCTACTGAACCACGTAGCCTGTAATTACATTGGCTCTTTATATCGATGCACGAGTGAGATTCCCCTCAAAGTACAATCTTGGATAGTAATGCTACCTACCATCAAGAAGGCTTGTGCTCAGCTATTGGCTTCTTCATAATATAGACGTATATTGAAAGCAGAACTTATAATTTTCCAATATGGTTTTTTATATGCAAAGTACTAACCTGTATGAGCCAGATCCTGTGCCAGCCTTTTCGAACGATGCAGAATAAGCTTGGGAATTATTTTGAGTATAATAACATTCAGCCTCCAACGTCCTTAAGTAACTGATCTAAATCGATGAATTATAAAACAGCTGTTAATTTATGTAATAAGTTCTGAATTGAAATCATTGTCATAAAGATTGACTGTAAAGATATTATAGTTCTTTCCATAAGACTTACTTTCTACACTTGACAGGATCTGATCGTCTAGTAATTGTGACGCTGGTTCCTATCGCCGAACTAGTATATGCGAGATGGTTATAGATTATAGAGGCATCACTCTTGGGTATTTGTCTACGTGATTTACACCTGAATAAGTCTGCAATCGATTTAATGCCACAGTCACTATAGTATTATGTACGAGTATGCGGGTAGCACCTGACACGCTTCCTAATAACGTCACTGAAATGCTGTTAGGATATTCTAGGTAGGTCTTATCTGATAGAGATAACAAACCTTTTACATATTTCTGTTGCTTAAGTATCCGCAGTTGTGTTCCGCTTTGAGGGTCATGGAGAGCCAGTCTATTTACACGTTACAAGGTATTCCATCGGAGCCCTTAAAGATTACAATGTACCATCAATCCATCCATCCATCCATTACAGCCTATAAAAGTCCACTGCTGATCATAGGCCTCCCCCATAGATTGCTTCATAGGGATGATTATTATATTATATATCATAGTTGCCACACTTGGCAGGCTGGTAAATAACCGCAGTTTTTTATTATATTCTCATGCTGCCCATCTCCTCTTTCAATTTCCCTCTTTCGTCTTTTACGACACCTACGGGACGATATGGGGCAGTGAAAATTCTTACACCGCCACTACACGGTAAGATAACGTATCATATGTAACCATTTAAGTTTTAAGTTGGGCTTAGATGCTCATGAGCTGTTGAAGCAGAAAACCATCAATGGCCTGTTAGCTCCTACCACCTAAAAGTGGCTTTTACTTTACGCTTTATTTTTGACGAATTCGCCAGAGTAGCGTTTATGATAAGGACATTAATATTGAAAAACATAATACTTACCTCGCCAAATTTCTCAATTCCTTTCTGAATATTGCACAGAGCGTCGTTAACGTTCCCTTTTAGGCGGCAACACAAGGCTAACAAGTGGAAGTACTCCGGGCACTCGCCAGTTCTGATGAGAGCTTGAGCAAGACAAACTTCCGCTAACTGCGCAAATTACAATCATACTTTCCTCAATTTGTAAACTACGTTCACGGCTGGACTTAGACATGCCCCTTGGACTACCCCCGTTGCATCTACATACTTAGCACTAAGCTTAGCAGGCAGATTGGAGATTGCAACACCACAAGTACCACAAATACCACAAATACCCGCCAGCCAAGATATTCAAGGTGTCTACGTCCGCTGGAATAATAATGGTCTTTGTATTCTGGGGTGCGGAAGGTTTAAAAATGATCGACTATTTAAGTAAATTTAAGTAAATGATAGACAATAAGCGGAGATTATCATATATCATTAATTAAAAAACTACACGAAGAACGAAAGAATAAACGTCGAGGAAAATTGCGTGCTGATGTGTGTTTTGATCGTGATAATGCTTCTGCCCATGGATCTGATGTTGCAAGCGCTGTCATCTGAATTGCTGACTACTACTGCACTACGCTTAGCAGGCAGATTGGAGATTGCAACACCAAACGACCAGCAAATTTAACGCTATTTGTTGCCGTTCTGGGTATTTTTGTACTACCATACTATTGGAGATTCTATTTACTAACCTTTGAATATTAAAAAAACTTATACCTAGTAGCTGTAGCCGTTATAAATGTTAATTTATACTTTACAAAGTCAGCTCATTGAATATAATAATATGTATCGTATGTATCGGTATAGTATCTGCCAAGGGCCGCGGGTTCGAATCCCGCACTGAACAAGTATTTGTATGACCTACAAATAATTGTTCCGGGTCTGGATGTTTGTCGTTGTGAAATATATGTATGTCAACTACCCTCACGATACAGGAGAAAATCCTAGTGTGGAGGTAACGTTTTTTAAACCGACAAAAAAAAACGGGGAGTGCTCAGAGGAATTGTTCGGACTAATTCCAGTCGTCCAATTTCACCATCGCACATCGCGACAAAACTCGAGATACCATCCACATCATCTGGATGATTAAAAATGTTACATAAAGGTATTAGGTACTGTCCGGATTGAATATACATTTACAATAGCGTTTTACTGATAATACTTCTGTACTTCGCGTGGTAGTTGCCTTCTTGCTTTCGAATTTCCTTCGGAATTCCGTTCGTTGCTTTAGTAAGTTAATATTTTTATGCTAGCTACAAATCATTTGCTTCATGTTCCTTTGATTCCCGACGTTGTATTTAATTTTCCCTTATCTTATTGTTAAGATTATTTAAAAATATAGGTAGATAAAATTGAATGCGCACATTTTCAAACATTAAGAAAAAGCCTTTTTAAGAATTGGTCATAGTATAATGTATTCTAAATATTTCATAGATCGAATCTGCCACCGAGACGTCATCGATATTATTATATTAATTAGAAAAATATTTGTAGACTTCCTTAGAGTAGGACATTTATCAATGAGTAATAGAAATGCGTTGTATTTTTGTCGAATCTTAAATTCGTTAGTAGCCAATGCCAGAAAAAACTAAATAAAAACTATATTTTTTTTCAATCTTCATATTTGGCGGAAATTTGATTAGAATGCAATATAAAGAAACTTAAACTTCGGCATCGGCAGAACCGTCTGCAATGACGATACTCGTTCCGGGTGGCCAACAATTTTTTAAAGTAGATTGACGTTTTTTTAAAGGATAAGGGTGACAAACGAGTACACAGTCCACCTGATGGTATCCAAGTGGTTGCTGCGGCCTATAGACATCTACATCTTTTCTCGATTACGAATCAAAATACAGATGCGTTGTCACCGTGAGGACTAAGATGTAATGCCTCGTTTCCAGTAAAAAGGGTCTCCGGTTCTCTACACTCACCATACGAGACACAGCAGCGTTAAGTTGCTATTTTACGTCGTATTCTGTGAGAGCGTGGTCCTTCCCCGGTCGAGCAGGCCCATTCATGCTACAACTATACCTACTACTAAAAGCTGCAGCCTGGCTCTACCACGTAAAAAAACGTGTAACCCTTATGTGACGTGACGTGTGACCATTAGTTATTTAACTGAGATTCTAAAGCTTTCGTTTGGGACAATTCAGTTTATTTTGACTCTTAATCGTAAAATTCAAAAAGGTGGCCGCGCGCTGTTTTTCTCGAATGTTAACAGACGCCCAAAAGAAACCAAGTGTTGACATTTCAAAGCTTAATTTAGCAATAATAGAAGAAGATCTAGATTATTTTTGCGTTCGTTTCGTAACTGTAGATGAAACGTGGGTACACCATTTTGAACCGGAGACGAAAAACAACAGCAAAGTATGGCAAAGACCCTCTTACCCGCCAGCCAAGATATTCAAGGTGTTTACGTCCGCTGGAATAATAATGGTCTTTGTCTTCTAGGTTGCGGAAGGTTTAATAATGATCGACTATTTAAGTAAACGATAGACAATAACCGGAGATTATCATATATCGTTAATCAAAAAACTACGCGAAGAACTAAAGAAAATAAACGTCGAGGAAAATTGCGTGATGAAGTGCTTTTTGATCATGATAATGCTTCTCCCCATGGATTTGATGTTGCAGGCGCTGCCATCCGTACTGCTGAATTATAGTTGAGGTAACACCCACCATATTCTCCGGACCTAGCTTCGAGTGATTTTACCTTTTTACTAACCTGAAAAATCACTTGTGTGGTATACAATTCGACAGCGACGATGAGGTGATGTGTACTGTAGAGGCCTTTTTGCCCAGAGTCCCAAGGATCAAGCCTTTTTTCCAAGGGAATTAACCAAGTAATAATCAAGGTGTATTAGCTTAAAAGGCGATTACGTTGAAAAATAGACGCAATTTACATATCCTACAGTTTCATTGCGTTTCCATAAACTTATTGATCAATAAATACATAATACATAATAAATTCAATACAAAAGTGTAAACTTACTTTAATGGCACGTATCCTAAGTAGTAGATCTGCCGTGTCGTAATATAGACTCATTCCAGGGCGCAACGGCGTCGAGTCCCACCAATCGCCCAGTTCATTCTCCCATGCTCTGGGAATTTTCAATTGCTCCGATAACCCTTGTGTTTGAGTTCTGTCATAATGATAAAATGTCAAAAATGTTATTATACAATAGGTAGCGTACATCCTAGCGTATTTTTTATAGAATAGGGGGCAAACGAGCATGTGGCTCACCTGATGGTAAGTGACTATCGCCGCCCATGAACAACCACAACACCAGGGGAATTGCAGGTGCGTTGCCGGCCTTTTAGAAAGGAGAAAGTTCTTTTCTTGAAGGTCCCTAAGTCATATCGGTCCGGTAACCAATTCCACAGAGAAGTTGTACGAGGAAGAAAACTCCTAGTAAAACGCACAGTGGTGGACCGCCAAGCATCCAGATCTTGAAGACGGTATCCTGAATTTTGATGCGATGTGCGTTCGTGAAATTTGGCGGCTGGAATTAATCCGAACAATTACACGATTACTTCCCGTGGTAAATTTGATAGAAAATGCTAAGGGATATACAATGGGATGATCTGTTTTACCGGTTATATATAGGCTAAACCGAAAGAAAACTTAGATTATTTAATTGTTCCGCAGATGATGATACTCGTAAAGATTAAAGTAATTTGAACAATTTGTGCAATTAGTCATTTTTAATACATAATTTTTGGTGCATTCAAGTAACCGCTTAGGATAGAAATGTTGATTAAAAATATAAGAGCCGTATACAATCCTCCATCGCATATCGCAAAACTGCAAGAAATCGATGTAACCAGATAATACGCAACGCGAAACGCCGATATATTCTCAGCAACATCATATCCTCTTCAGCCGCTGATGTTCCCTGGAACCATGGGTATTGGCAAAACGTCCCATTTTGAGTTTCAGAGGACAATGGCTTGCATGATATTAACAGTCATTTCTCAGTGTCGCATACACCTTTGGATCACCAAACCAACTGTATGCGACACACGCACGCACACATTCGTAAGGTTCGATCGGTAGGCAAAAACTTTTTGCCCATAAATCACATTCAATATGGGATAGTATCAATTAAAGTAGAAGACTTTTTCACTCGTATTTACAAGAACTGCAATAACGGTATATTAATATTTATATATTTGAACTTAAGTTTAAAATTTGGCTATTTTTTGAAAAATAACTCTGTGTATAGATTTTATTTTTATATGTATATATGTGTATTTCTTTATAGAATAACGGAGACAAAGGAGAACACAGTCCACCTGATGGTAATTGGATGCTGTGGCCCATAGACATCTACATTTATCCTAAATTAAGAATCAAAATGCAGATGCGTTGTGGGCTGAGATGCAACGCATCGTTTCCAGTAAAAAATGTCTCCGGTTCTCTACACTCACCTTACGAAATTCACTGGTATTCTGTGAGCGCATGGTCCCACCCCGGACGAAACGACCCATTCGTGCTGCAATCACAATATAACTGCAGCATGGCTTTACCACGTAAAATTAATTATGTTTATACATTGAGTTATATGTACTACGTACTAGAGAATATAGACTATAACAAACAAAAATTGTGCGCTACTCTGCGCTGCGCATGCGCTGCTGTCTTGGCGCATGCGCGGGAGATAGTAGAATCGCGCATGCGCGAAGACTAATTTAATATAAAATAAGATATTAATATAAAATAAATTTAAGAATTTAATATAAAATACTCTTATTTTAATCTAAACAAACATATTTCTAAATAAAATGCAATAATAATTATCTTATAGAATTCACAAATCTTCAATTGACGCAAAATTTAGTTTAGTGTACGGATTGCAGTACAGTTCAGTTGAACAGTCAATGTTCGGAATGCGAAATCTAGTGCGTAGTACATATATACCGATGTGTTTATATGTATTCAGTTACACTTGTATATAGACTTTCTGTTCCTCTTTTCACACCTAACTCTTTCATCTCTGCACTACTCTAAGGAATACTGGTAGATAATGCTTCAGGTATTAAGTAATTTAATTATTGTGTTACTCACTTCTTTAGAAAGTCCAAGACTGCATCAGCTATTTGAAAGTTTTCCCTGTGTATGTAGAAAGCATTTGCAGCCACCAGCCCGACAAGCCAAAATGGCTGGAAATATAATATACCTAAGAAGAACGGTTCGGCTGCGTCCGGATCTTTTTTGAAAACCATACATCCTTTAGAGAGAAGCCTGAGGAAATAATAAATTTGTGTTGTATAAATAGTATTTTTGACTACTAATCGCATCGAACGAACTTAAATCGCCATCAAAATTTTAACTCCTCGTCATAATTACCCAGTATAAATAGACTATGAACCTGGAGGAAGGATATAGTCTTTTTATACTGGGTACACATGGAGGAAGTCGGAGACAGTACTTTGTGGCATTCCTTGGGAGAGGCCTAAATTCAGCAGAGGACTTGTGATTGGTTGTAATTATGATGATGATAAAAAATACTAGGTAATTAAAATAAGGATTTCATACCTAGAGTTATATTATTATGCTGTGTTACACGCTTTTGGATTGTAGTTAAGATGAACAGCATTATATATAGTTTTAATTTTAGTAACTACTGTCTGTTTTAGTATATTATTCAATAAAATAACATGAATACTACTTGCACTAAGTGTTTAATATTAATTAACGATTATTATATATAAATAATATTGTCTATATAAATAAAAAGATAGAGGTTTGCAGTTGTGCGCGCATCACGGAAAACTACTGGATAGATTTCAATTAGGTTTTCTAAGTTTTATTTCTGAGACACTTGGCCCTCATCTAAAAAAAAAAAATATTGCCAATTATATTAAATTATTAATAAAAGTTTTAAGAAACAACGATTTTTATAAGCACTACGTGTTCAGTGATCTGTATTTTCTTGCCGCGGAGAAGTGTGGCCAGGGGTGTAACGCGCATGCGTAGGAGAGGCAGAAACCTCTGCCACTTAATAAAGTTAGGGCCAGCGGCCAGCCGCGCATTAATTGTGCGAGCGACCTGATGCTGTAGTATCTTGATCAATTGCTCTTTATTCCTTATTTATTTCACTGACATTCAAGTATCTTCACCATATTTTCCTTTTACTTTTTCTTTCATGTGTGAACACACACTGGAGACTAATTATCTACTCTATAACACTAACACTTAACTTCGAAAAATTTTTGTTCAGAAGTGGTTTGAAAATACTGGTGATGCGATGCGATTGCGAAATTGTGAAAATTCAAGTTTAGGATTTAATTTCTTTAACATGAAAATATATAAAATGTTTTTACCAGTTTGTATCATGGTTTTATAATCTTACGTAAGCGGATGTCGAGGATTCAGCATGAGGGACTTGTCAAGGCAAATGTCAGCCCAGTCTTGATCCAGGTCTCGTAGACAGGTGGCCAACTCCCGCCAACGATCAGCATTGCGCGTATTTTGGGCTACGGACTGAAAAGGTAAAATAATTTCATAGTTACCTATGTAACAAGAATAAACGTCTTTTCATTGATAGTAAGTTAAAGCTATAGTGTGCATGGTTGTTAATGCAATGTACGTGCAGTGTTTGAGGGCTGTGTACGGGAGAAAACCGAGTTCGACCTTCTCCTGCAACACTGAAATAATGATAGTATTGTTAAACGCGAAACATATAGTTAGAAGTTCGCAAACTCAGAAATTATTGAAGCTTGTATCCAGCAGTAGGATGTTTGTAGGTAGTCAACAACTGAATTATATTTAAGCTTATTTGATTTCTTAAAAAAAACGGAATGCTTACGGAATCACCTCAGTGTATTTTTATCACAGTTTTTTTCTCTGAGAGATTAAGTTAGTATTTTTGTGTAAGGGGATTTCTTCGCGCCAAACGCTAATTTTAAGAATTGACGCTAGAGGGCGCTCGGCACGGTGCATTCGTACCGGTTTGACGTTCGCGCGAGCAGAGTTGGTTTTGGGTGTGGCGCGTCGGAAGTCGAGAACAATGCAGCGCAGTCACTAGAACGGCGTGGTCGCGTACCGTATAACCTCTAAATAGTGTCGGTTTTTGTTAGCAAATTTATGCAACGACGAGGAGTTTTGTTGAGCCTAGAAAAATAGATTGTTTTCGCGGACGCCGGTTCTTCGCTAGACTCGTGAGGTCGCTTTAAGATCGCTTCTATTTTGAGTTATCATTTTGTGCGTTTTACGCCATAACAAGGCCGGTCTAAGTGTTGAGTGATAAAATTAACTTACCTTTGATTGCAAGTAATTTACGTCAATTTGTATAGTGATTGCATTTTGAAGCGCATTTGCAATATTTAATTTGTTTGAGTGACCTGTTAATATCGTACGAAAGAATCTTAGTTTGTTATGTGGAACGCGGAACTTTGTGATCTGAGAGAATTTCGCGTTCGGTTTCTAGAAATAATTTGTTGCTAAGTGAAAACGGAAGTTGAAATTTGATCGACCGTTCATTAGTTGTGCCGTGTGTCACATTTTTGATTACGATTAACGGGGATTTAGTTGAGTTTGAAGTGAATTAAATGTACAATAAAGTTGATAGATTGAAATAGTGTACAATAAACTTGATAAACTGAAATAGTGAAATGAAGGCAGAAATTTTCAATCCGTGATCTACGGTGGAGGGAGCGCACATTGGGAGAACATCAGCTCCAGTGGATCTTCTGTCCGATTAAATCGGGCCGTCAGGTCACATATATAAACACTACTACACACTACTTACATACACCTCACTTATCACCTGACTGGTACCCTGTGGTCAACCCTGCCTCCTGAAATAGATAAGTGCTTGCTTATTTGTCAGCCGTTTTTTGAACATTTATCCATAGGCCGTTGGGCCCTGTCCTCTGTTGCCCGTCGATGGGATTACTCATGGGCCCTAGTCCAGTCAACCTTTGTCGGGCCAACTCAGGGCGTGAACAGGATTAGTATCGGGAGTAAAAGTAGTGAACTGTTAATAATTATTATAATGTCTCATTTCACAACTCACTGCATTTTTAAAATTATTAATAATAACTACGTATTTACTTGAAAATATAGTTCCAGAGCATGGTGCGTATCTTGAAAATGACGAGCATGCCTCGCAGCCCGAATTATTGGATCCATCTTTGGCCAATCGTCGACACCGAGCAGTGTGTCAGATGCAATACGCACGAGACAAGCATGAGCCATCATTAGAAGTTCCTGCAAGAATTTCGTTACAAAACTTAAGACATGACCAGTATTGATCTGACTGATTATTCTTTGTATGACTCAGTCGCATATCAGAGTTAATAATATGTGACAATGATGGTGATTTTTAATCTATGTTTTTAAGTGCTGATTTATCATGTACTCGGCGGTGAAGGAAAACATCGTGTGGAAACCGACATAATAATAAAAAATATTTTTCGGAGACATGTGAAGTTCGTCAACATGTATTAGGGCAGCGCGGCGGACACTTCCTTGCTCCGAAACCTTTTCAGAAATGAGAGGAGACCTGTGCCCAGTACTGGGATGTATACAGGTTGTAACTTTACTTTTAACTTTAAATAGAATAGAAACCGTGTAGAGGTGGCGTAAGAATATCCCCATATCATCTCGCAGGTATCGTAAGAGACGACAGAGGGAAACCGAACAAAAAGATGGGCAGCAGCATCTTCCTTTTACGCTTATGTGCAAGCTCAGAGATATTTTGCTCACAGAATACCAGCGTAAAATAGCAGCTTAATGCTGCTATATTTCGTATGGGTATAGGGAGAACCGGAGACCCTTTTTACTGGAAACGAGGCATTCCATCTTAGTCGTCACGGGTGACAGCGCATCTGTATTTTGATTCGTAATCGAAGATAGATTGTAGATGTCTATGAGCCACAGCAACCACTTACCATAAGTGTGCGCGTTCTCACCCTTATCCTATAAAAAAAAGTGTTTCCGAAACTAACTTGTGCTCGACATACCTATTAAGTTTTTTTGCGATAAGATTAGAAGTCTTAGTGCAAACAATAATTCTGGCCCAAGGTCGACAAAGGACGACAATGGGAAACAACAAGTGTAAAGCTTGCTTAAACACATAAAAAGTAAATTTTAATAAAAACAAAAATATAAAATTAAACATACCTCAAACGTTTTTTCAGACTGTAAGAAGTCTTTTGTGACAAAATTGTTGTTGACGTAGATTGCAGCCTCCTCGCAAAGCGATGTAAGGATTTCAACACGAGTGCGTGTCGAACCAAGTTGGCGATCGAATGTGCAGAAATCTGCAGAACCTTCAACATAAGTTTTTTGTAAAGTTATTAAAGTGGTGCCATTATTTAAAAAAATCCTATTCTATATTCTATTATATTCTCTTAGAGCGTGGTCCTTCCTTCCCCAGTCAAGCCGACCCATTCGTGCACAACAAATGAAATCGGTAAAAAGTGAAATCGGTAAAAAAATAAAATCGGTTCGAAAATATGTTTATTTACATTTATAGAATAATCATCACCATAAAATGGGATCCTGCGCAAAGCATTTGCAGCCATTTTTACTGTGTTTTGCCAGTCTTTGACCTTTTGTCCACGTCCTGTGCATTCTCGTTGGCATGGTTGAGCTTCCATCTCCTTCAGCATTTCTTTAATTTCTTGTCTAAAATAATAAATATACCTGAATTTATGTTTGCTTAGGATCCAATTATTGAGGAGCTTTAGATACATTACAAGAATCGTTCTTGTCATCATCATCCAGTTCCCAGAAATGATATGCCAGTGCATTTGTATTAAGTATTAATTGTCCCATGTCGAATGATAATCGTAAACGAAGCTTTTACTTCTGATAGATTTGTATTATATGATAAAATCTAAGGCCAGAAATTGTTCCATTATTCAGAATACGTTACACAAAACGTTAAAATTTTGTGCGTGAAAGATATATTGTACCGTATTGGATGTCGTTCTTCAAGCTATATGGCTAGCAAAATGTAACTTTAGCTTAATTATAAGTTTGCGTTCTTTTTACACCTTTTCCGTTATAGAATAAGGGTGAAAAATGAGCATTGCATCCCTTTGCATTTTCTATCGAATCTGCCACGGGGAGAGCTCTGAGGAATTGTTCGGATTAATTCAAGTCTTAATTCAGGATTCAAGGATTAATTCAGTCAAAATTCACAATACCATCCTCATCATCTGGATGTTTGGCGGTCCACTACTGTGCGTTTTACTAGGAGTTTTTTTCCTCGTACAACTTCTCTGTGGAATTGTTTACCACCAGAGTTTTCTCCGGACCGATACGACTTAGGGACCTTCAAGAAAAGAGCTTACTCCTTTCTAAAAGGCCGGCAACGCACCTGCTATTCCCCTGGTGTTGCGGTTGTTCGTGGGCGGCGGTAGTCACCATCAGGTGAGCCGCATGCTCGTATGCCCCCTCTAGCCCCCTCTTCTATAAAAAAAACGTAGTCGCCCCTTAAGATCTAAAGAAAGTCTAAGATAGAATGCCTTGCCACTAGTAAAGAGGCTTTTCGGTCCTCTACACTCATCATACGAAACACAAATAATTAGGATGCTATTTTACGCTGGTATTATGTGAAAACGTGATCCTTCCCGGTAGAGTCGACACATTTGTGCCGCTCTCGCGGTTTATTATATAATGTACCATCCTAAAACGTCTCGCACCTTTAAAGCTGTTGCATGTCGCCGTTTCGAGTAATTTACGTCTGGCGTAAATGGGCTAGTGTGCTTTTTTTATAAGGGTGTCAAGCGAGCACACAGCCCACCTGATGGTAAGTGGATGCTGTAGCTCATATACATCTACATTTATACTCGATTAAGAATCAAAATGCAGATGTGTTGTCACCTCTGAGGACTAAGATGGAATGCCTCGTATCTAGTAAAAAAGGTGGTCCGGTTCTCTACACTCACCATACGAAACACATTTTATGCTGGTATTCTCTGAGAGCGTGGTCCTTCCCCGGTTGAGTCGTCCCATTCGTGCTACAACTATAGCTGCAGCATGGCTCTACCACGTAAAAACTGCCACCCGTGGACTTTACCGCCATCTATTGAAAGCCGTAAGGCATTTCTTACGACATCTACGGCATGAAATGGTGTGATGGATGGACTATTATTTACGACACGACTATGACCATTATAACACAGATTTCATATCTGCCGGGTTATCTTTATAACCGAGACCATGAATATCTATTATCATAATAACATTGAAATTCATACAATACTAAAAAACTATTATAAAAAAAAACTTCCACTAAAACTTAAATTATCATACAGTTCTACTTTATAATTAACAGTCAATGAAGATTTTCTTTTGACATCAAACTATTGATAACGCTGAGCAAATAAAGTTCTTCTCGGTATGTTGTGCATTGTAATTTACATGAGTAATTGTCAAATATACTTACTGAGATATTTGCGGAGGTGTTACTGGTTTCTTAAACGGACGTTGTAAAGCCACTTCTATAATAACAAAGGCGCAGCTGTCATCGCTCCCTGTAGGCATTTGAGATCTTGTGTCGGTTTTGCTAGTCCGAACTGAATCAGTCATCCTAGATGTCAAAAAGATGGTCAAATGTGGGCATAATGTACACCTTTATCATATCGCTGCGTAGCTTTATTTCTGAGATTATGGACTGTTTACAACTGTAAAGTTACAGTTACATATACATCTAACTGCTAGGGACAGGCCTCATCTTATTTCTGAGACGGTTTTAGGGCAAGGAAGTGTCAACCGCGCTGCTCCAATGCGTGCTGGCAAACTTCATATGTCTTCGAAATATTTTTTTTATTTCTCAGACATGCAGATTTCCTCACGATGTTTATCTTCACCGTCGAACACGTGGTAAATCAACATTTAAAATTGTAACTAAAAATTTCATTAGTGCCGGCGGGGGTCGAAGCCGGATTGTCCGCGTAGTGTGAAATTTACAGTGAGAGCTAAGCCGGTGAGCTACCACGACTCAGTTCACAGTTCACGACTGTATTTGATATTAATTTCCACTCTTATTGTCGATCACTAATTTAACTTAGATGAATAACTTAGTAATGGTTCCTTAAAGGTTGCCTTTTATTTGGCATGTTTTAACCGTGTCATAATTTCTTTTTTCCTACTTCTCATTCTACTTCAGCCCGTGAAAGTCCACTGCTGAACAGGGTCTTCTTAATTCTAGAAACTATTTGAATTGTTATTCTTGGCAGGAGGATTCGCGACCATACTACGAGATGACTCAAACATTTTTAAATATACATAAGTATAATATAATATATATATATATATATATATATATATATATATATATATAACATCTTTCATTATTAATTAATTTTAATACTGTTCTAGCCTATTAAAGTCCACTGCTGAATGGTTGTTAATTTATTAGTATGATTTTCTTTATTATTCTTAAGCATTAATTGCTGGATGAATAGGAGAATCTAAGAAAGACGTGGTCCTTCACTGCTGGCCGGATGAGAAAGCCCAAGGTCGCTCAGCGAGCTATGGGGAGGGCTATGCTCGGAATTTCTCTGCGTGATAAACTTAGAAATGAGGATATCCGCAGTAGAACCAGAGTGACCGACATAGCCCAACGGATTAGTAAGCTGATGTGGCAATGGGCCGGCCATATAGCTCGAAGAACCGACAGCCGATGGGGAAAAAGGTTCTCGAGTGGCGACCTCGTGCGTGCGGACGTAGTGTTGGGTGTCCCCCCCACTAGATGGAGTGACGTCTAGTAACATATGCAGGAAGTCGATGGATGCAGGTGGCTCAGGACTGTGCATTGTGGCATTCCTTGGGGGAGGCCTATGTTCAGCAGCGGACTTGTGAAGGGCTGTAATGATGATGATGATGATGATGAAGAAAGCGTCAAATTATGGTCGTCTTGGAAGGTTTCTAGTTCTAGACTTCGTGACCTCCCCGCCAACACGCTAGACTAGCGTGTTGGCGGGGAAGCGTGGCGGCTCTCAGGTGTCAAGCGCTCGCAGTAAATTTCAAAGTAGGCGAGCAACTCATGTTCGATCTGCAATTTGTAACATAATTGCAATTTGAAGTGCTGATTTGCCACGTGTTCAGCAGTGAGGGAAAACATCGTGAGTAAACTCTCATGTCTGAGAAAAAAAAATCGAAGACATATTAAGTACGCCAACGCGCGTTGGGGCAGAGCGGTGGACATTTCCTTGCACTTTTTTTTTGCACGTTTTCTTGATCACTTACTTGCTTGATTTCCGAAAAGAGCTAGTGGTTGATGGCGCCTGTTCGTTAAAAGCGAGCAAAGGATCACAATCACATTTCTCTTTCATGGTCACTTCGTCAAACCATTGTAGTGGCACAACAAGGCGAACTGTGTCCTCTAGCAATAAATATTTATTTAGTGGTGTTAACTATTTCACAGTGCAATTTCTTCCTATAGTATTTGCTTGAAAAAATCATTGCGTTTTTAATTCTGTATGGTTGAAGCGGTTGACACATCTATGTATATGTTACGGCTAAAAGCTGAAGCGGTTAGACCAATGTTTATTGTTTTAGATTTTGACTTTATATTCTTTCGTATTTTTAACCCCCAACGCAAAAGAGGGGTGTAATAAATTTGATCGCTATGTATGTCTGTGTCTGCGGCACGCGTAGCTCTTAAACGGGTGAACCGATTTTGGTGCGGTTTTTTTATTTAATTAAAAGCGCGTTTTCTATCAGTGGTTCTTAAACATGTTTTACCAAAACCAGTTCAGCCGTTTGAAGATCATCAGCTCTTTGCGTTTTGGGGGTTTTAAAATTTTCAATTTTAGGTTTAACCCTGAAAAAATAGAATATAGGTAAATATAGTTTAACCGGCTAAACTTAGGTGTAACCGCACTTGGGCTTCTAGCTGTGAAATATACTTATTGCCAACATCTAATAATATATTTAAGTAAACAAATTGTGTTTATTGAGAACCTTTGTTAGGTTTATTGTTCTACTAAACCTATAAAGCATTTTTTTATAGGATAAGGGTGACAAACGAGCACACAGTCCACCCGATGGTAAGTGGTTGCTGCGGTCCATAGACATCTACATCTATCCTCTATTACAAATTAAAATGTAGATGCGTTGTCACCCGTGAGGACTAAGATGGAATGCCTCATTTCCAGTAAAAAGGGCCTCCGGCCACCTGCACTCACCAAGCGAAACGCAGAGGTAAACCTTCACTTCATACTGGTTTTCTGTGACATATTCTACTTCTGTAATAATATGTGCAATACTGACAAGTATGTCCTTTATGCTGTTGTGAATGAATGAATGTGCAATGAACGAATGTAAATAACTTTTCTTATTATCACTTATTCTGTGGAATAGACTATTGTAAAAGTAAATCAACTCTAAGAAAGAAAAATTGTAAAATTAATAATAATAATAATAATCTTTATTAAAACTTATATAGGTTACAAATAAATAGTTGCACTGATTCCTAAACTAGGATTAATCCTGTATCTTAGGATATCAGTAGCTTCCCATACAATTTTACAATATTAAATTTTAACGCAGACTTTTATAAAACAATTTTTTTTAAATAAAACTAAGTTATTCCTCTTCTACCGTGTGTGTGTATGTGTGTGTGTGTGAAAAAAATTGTCTTATTATACGTTGTTCTGTGAGAAAACCAGCTTGATATGATAGAGAACCAGTAGGTTACCTATAGATTGTATGACAGTTGCGTAGTTAGTGAAGTTCCGTGTGAGAAAGCCCAAAGTCTTTTTTATCAAGCTGATAATAATTTAAACAGCCCTCATAGTCTGGTCTTCAGATACAATCACGAGCTTAAACTCAAATTTCACAATATAAAAAATTGTTAAGTATATGGTCTAGTCTATTAACACCATCCTTAGTCTTCACTATAAATTAGAAGTTTAAATTTATCCATCGTCGAGTATTGGTGGTGTATGATAATCCACTACTCGATGATATCCCGCGGGTGTGTAAGAAGCAACAGATGAAAATAGAGACAAGAGATGAGCAGTACCTGCCTGATAAAAATTCAATTATAATAATTAATAAAAAAAAACTGCATTTGTCAAACTGCCTACCAAGCGTGTCAACTATAACAAATATACTCCTTATGGATAATAATGAGTAAGTATTGACATATCCAGCATTCTTTATAGATAATGAATGACAAAAATATGAGTGGTGTATAATAGAAATGTTAAGTTCTGAATGTTTTGATTTACGAGTATATTTTTTTTATAGGATAGTGACAAACGAGCACACAGTCCACCTGATGGTAAGTGGTTGCTGTGGCCCATAGACATCTATATTTATCCTCGTTCGCGAATCAAAATGCAGATGCGTTGTCACCCATGAGGACTAAGATGGAATGCCTCTTTGCCAGTAAAAAGGGTCTCCGGTTCTCTACACTCACCATACGGAACACAGCAGAATTAAGCTGCTATTTTACGCTGGTATTCTGTGAGAGGGTGGTCCTTCCCCAGTCGAGCCGACCCATTCGTGCTACAATTATACTACTAATATAGCTGCAGCATGGCTCTACCACGTAAAAATCTATACAAATAAATAAAATTGAAGTGTCTGTTTGTAATGTCAAAATTACAGCTTTTTACTAAATAAATATGAAAGTATATACGATACTAATAACAAAAATACAATTTTTAAAGTTTTTGTCTGTCTGTCTGTCTGTCTGTCCGTCTGTCTGTCTGTTTGTTCCGGCTAATCTCCGAAACGGCTGGACCGATTTTGACAGGATTTTCACTGGCAGATAGCTGATGTCACAAGGAGTAACTTAGGCTACTTTTATTTTAGAAAATGAATTAGAGTTCCGCGCAAAAAAATTATAACCCCAAACAACACGCGGGCGAAGTCGCGGGGAACAGCTAGTATAATAATAATTATACTTTTTGGGTGAGTGGTATCTGTTCACGAACTGAGTAAATAGTCCTCTGTGGTTGGATATATGGCGTAATCATCTAATATGTTATTCACAACTACAAAATGTCGATACTTAAATTTTTCTTTTGTGTGAAAATTGAAAACTCAATTATTAATCACCTCCCGGGTACAGCAATTTAAATAAATCCAAAGACGCCATAAAACAGTAGTCGGTGCTACCAGAGATACGAAGCTCTAAAGGCCAATGGTATTGACGGAGGAAGTCGCACATCCGTAGCTCAGTTTCTTTCAGTAACAGTGTACGGTGGAACGAAGCCCATATTATTGTATTGTCTAAAACATATAGTTACTTTTATATTTTTTGTAATTTTCATCAAAATTAAGTATTTTAGTAATAATTTTTTATACAAGGGTGTCAAACGAGCACACCTGGCGAAAAATAGATGCTGTGCCCAATATATATCAACATCTACCCTCGATTAGGAATCAAAATTCACATGTATTTTTACCCAAGGAAAAGATGTCATGTCTCATTACCACTAAAAAGTACACCAATTCTTATCATACGTTACACAGCAGCAATATGCTGGAATTTTACGCTTGAATTCTGTAAGAATTTCATTGGCGCTAGTGTGGATTAAACACCGTTTGTCTTTTTATGAAGTTTTAAGGCGAGTGAACCCTTGAGCTAATACAACTTTTAAGTGCTTGTGGACGACGGAAAACATAGTGAGGAAAGCTGCATGTCTTATAAACTAAAAACACATAAGAATACTGCCAACACGCATTAGGACTGTTATTTGCCATAATAACCCTAATGAGGAAAGCCTGTGCTCAGCAATGGAACATATAGTTACAGCCTATACTAATACTATTTTATTTTTTGTGAAAGTTTGTTCCTTCTGGTTTAGATCAACCCAATCGTGCAGTTATAATACAACTGCAACATGGATCTATTATTTATTTACTTGTTTTTTTTTTTAAATAACCCGTTAATATCTATGTATGTAATTGTGTGAACTTACGTCTGGAGGATTCAGTCAAATATTTTTCAAAATCAATATTTGCGTCGTTTTGAAAATTTTCAAGCTTGCAGTTAAATTTCTCGGAGCTTTCTGAATAGACATTTTCATAATACCTTACTGTTTCCCACTTTGGGTAGAAATTGGTGTCGGAAAATCTCTTTGGACTTTTGTACCCCTCGTTGAACTTAATTACATTATTATTCTAAAAAAGGCAAAAAATATTAATTTTTTTTTGTTGAAATATGTTTCCCTGGGACTTCTCCCGTATTGTTAAGGAGTTTTATATACATAAATTGAACAAGGACAAACATACAGTGTCGGAATAATTATTTCCAGGCCATACAAATTCTTGTTTCGTACTGAATATAATCCTTCTCCTTCAAAGCGATCAAACACTTTGCTATTGCGCTACCGGCGCGTTTTTAACATTTGAATATCTAATTTAAATTTTTAGTATCCATGTAGGTATAACGTGATGTTAGGTACTATCAGTATACGATGAGTAGTATCTACATGGATTTGCGTAAAAGTACGATATGACGCACATCAGGATCATCAGAAACATCTTATACAGAAGTAAGCGTGACAAACGATTGTGCTCGTTTACATCATCTACCTGGACTGGATGGTAATGGTTACTCATTAACACCTACATCTATACTTAATTAAGAATCTAAAGGCCGATGCGTAGTTGTCACCCCTGAGGCCTAAGACAAAATCACTCTACACCAGTAAAAAGTAAAAAGTAAAGTCAGGATTATGCTGCTATTTTTCACTGGTATTGTTTGCGAGCATGGGAGTATTAATTAAGGTTGCAGCACAAATGTGTAGATCGTTCATGCTGCTGCCATTCTGCTGCGTGCATCGGGGCAGCAGCGTGGCTCTACCACTTAGTAAATCTGCAAATTGATTTCCAAATCTTACATCCATGAAATTCCCTTGGGTAAATCATGCTGCTTTAAATGTTACAAAGGTATTCCAATTAGAAGCCTTGGTTTCGAATCGCTGTCGAAACTACAAAAACTTACGTGTAAACTGTACTTTCCAAATGTGGATAAATTGCGATTATTTAACACAGTATAACACGGCTGAGTTTAAATATTATTCTGTCCTATATCCAGTAGACCCTTTTTAATTTTTTTATGTATATGACCTCAATCGTTCAAGTTACACGATCACTAACAGACACATGAATGATTAAGTGTAAGGATCACTTAAGCTACGCGGTAATTAAGACTCATTTGCAATGTCTACACCCATGCGCTTTCCTCTTCATCTTGCGTCTTCCTCCAACGCATGCCTGAGAAATCATAGCGCAAGCAATAGCGCTTGCGCTAAAACTAGTTCGATTACAGGACATGCCTCTAGCGAACGCTGATCCGTCACCGGTGGGTTCGCATGCAAACATTTTGTGCATTTTAGTAAGCAAAATGGTGGAAGACAAAGTTAAAACATTAGATAATGAGTGTTATATTTCCTAATTTTTGGCTCCAATATTTTCAAAAGCTTGTAGAAAGTGGCCTTAGTCATTCGTGTGAAATTTTCAAAAATAATGTCATTGTTTAACTCTAAATCTTTCAATATTCTTCCGTTTCTTTAAATAATCTTTCATCCAGATTCTCCTTTTCTTGCGTTTTTTCCCTTATCACAAAATATGCCGCACTCATTGCTACTAGTGCCGCGTCCATCTCTAACCAAACTTAACCGAGACGCGTGAGGTATAGAACAGTTGCAGGCGACAAGCGCACGGGTATAGACGATAAGCTGCATGCGTCTTACGGCACAGCACTTGACGCAACTTGATGAACTTAAAGTTAAACACAAAATGAACATGAAAGCGAAATTGAAAGCGCACTGGTGTAGACATAGCTATTACGCTTTATTGCCTGCGTTGTTCGGGAGATTACTCAAGATCATAAGTGTATTTAATTATCGTTAATAAAGAACAGTTATTAGCTTCTCCAAATTCAATACTTCTCTTTATTCTATCTTTGCTATTACTAGTGTTTAAAATAATCCTTTACCGTTTCATTGGTTAATGTAGCTTTTGTCGCAGCGGTGTACACAAAATCTTTGTTGTACGGAATCGGTAAGTTATAACATCCAACTAGCGTTATTTTTAAATAATTCGCTTCACTAAGTATATCATGATGCTTAGCGTTCAATTCATTTCGATCTACCGACAGTTTAATTGTGAGAAGTGGAAGGTTGTCGAAACTAATTGCGTTTAAAACTGATGTTTGTGTTTCTGGATGCATGCGTACTCTTACGTACATTTCATCTGTATCTGAAAAATATGTATACGTATAGCAGAAAAAAAAATCACAATTAATATATTAATGTCAAAACTATGCTTTTAATAAAACAATCCTCATCATCATCATCATTTAGCCCTTCACAAGTCCGCTGCTGAACATAGGCCTCCCACAAGGAACAGGACCGTGCCACAAAGCACGGTCCTATTACTATGGCAAAGTCCATCAATTTATGGACCTATATTCAGCAGTGAAATTTTATTGGCTATAATGGATGGATGTGTATGTACTGCTGAAGAATTTTGCCGAGTGGTGGCGACGTAATTGAATCAATATCCCAATTTCGTCCCTTGCGGTTCTTATTTTTTTTCTCATGTAGGTACATACACTATATCGTATGTGTATCAAGAGGCGAGTGTAGGAAATTGCAGAAAATATTGTCTCCGATAATTGGAGGTATACCATATCATTTTTGCCAGACTTTAAATACCTAGATCGGCGACGGGCAGCAGTGTCAAGGTTGCGAGACGTCGGGTACTACGATCACCAATTTACCCGACAAGAGCTACGACTAAGGCAAATCTTTTTACGTGGTAGAGCCATGATGCAGCTGTTATTAGTAGTATAGTCGTAACACGAATGGGTCGGCTCGACCGGGGAGCGACCACGCTCTCACAGAATACCAGCGTAAAATAGCAACTTAACGCTGCTGTGTTTCGTATGGTGAGTGTAGAGTACCGGAGAGCCTTTTTACTGGAAACGATTCCATCTTAGTCCTCATGGATGACAACGCATCTGCATTTTGATTCGTAATCGAAGATAGATGTAGATGTCTATGAGCCACAGCAACCACTTACCATCAGGTGGACTGTGTGCTCGTTTTACTGTTACTGTTTTACTGTACTTTAAGTAAGCTTTAAATCCAAACAGAAACAGAAACTTTTTTATTCAATATACATTATAAATAATACTTATTGAAAGTCACTCTTTTGTTTGATTACCACTGGTTCGAAAAAAAAACCTCTGTCCTGGGAAGAACCAGCAAGAAACCCAGCGGGCCTTTTTTTTAAATAACAGCTTACAATCACGTATGTTACACAAAATAACAACACAACAAATTAGAAATAGCTTGGTAGCGATCACCTCATTTCCAGGGGTTATTATCGTCCACAAATTCTTTAATATTATAATAACCCTTTTTATAGAAACTTAGTCTAATAAAGTTTTTGAACTTTGAGCAGGTCAAATTTTGTATATTTTCTGGAATTTTGTTGTAAAAGATGGGAATGGTTCACAATAATATTAGTAAATTCAATGACGCAGTAGCACTGTACTTTTTAATTTCAGCGTACCTAGGCTACTGTCGAAAAAATTTCAGTTTTCAAGCTGTAGATGTTGGGTTTTACCGAGCAAGCACATACGATATTATACTTAGTAGTAGTATTGTCAAGTTTATTATTTTGTTATTACGTCAAACGTTATACGTGAAAGTTTGTATTAAAATTAAAACACCTACTAACCAAGGAACATCGGTAAAATATCCACATTACAACTACTCATATTTGTTGTGGTCTTGAGGAATTCTGTATCTAATCTCTTGTGTTGACTTTCATTTGATTTGGAATTTAAAACTGGTGATACATTTGTTTCTTTCGTTGTCAAAGGTTGTATGGTCACTGTGAAAATTAGGTTTGATAGTGATTATTTCGCCATGTGAATATAGAGATAGCTAAACGTCCCTTAGTTCCTTGGACGATATCGGGATAAGTTCTGTCCTGTATTTCAATATTACTCGATCAATATTAATTGATCGCGATAAAGCTTGATATTTATAATCAATTAATTAAAATGAAATGAAACTAATATTTACGGATTTTATCGCGTTTAATTTAACTTTTTAATTCCCGACATTTCGGGTGCTTTACAGTACCCATGGTCCGGGGGTGACTGAGGTGTTTGACGTCCCCCATCGAAGTTAAATTAAGTGCGATAAAAATTAATTTCATTTAATGGGTAGTCTTCGCGTAAATATAAGAAATCATTAAATAATGAAAATATCATTGTTAATTGTAACTGCATTTATTTAATTTTAAATATGTGAAATAATGATGAATGAATAAAATATGACGAAAATATAATAAAACACTGAAGTCTCGTTTTTTGCCAAAATCAGAATTTCTTCTAAAATGGCTTAAACATCTGGCAACTCCACCTAGCACATAGAGAATATGCTGAAAAATGCATCTTCAAAATTTATGTGTGACCCTATGCAATGCAGCAACGACGTAGCACGTATACGGTGGCGATTCGGCGGCGTTACGGCGCGGCTTCCTGAAAATTTGTCATATGCAAGAAACATCGCACAGTGTCGCATTTATGATACTGCGCCGTGATTCCATGCGACAACGAATTTAGCGAAATCAACTAAGAGTTTTGGTGCCAGAGGCGTTTTTTTCGGTGTGTCTAGCCATCTGCTAATCGGAAGACTAATATATATAATATCCATCCACTAATTACGGATTAGTAAGCTGAAGTGGCAATGTGCCGGCCATATAGCTCGAAGAACCGACAACTGATGGGAAAAAAAGGTTCTTGAGTAATTGCCTCGTACCGGTAGGCGAAGTGTAGGGCGACCCCCCACTAGATGGAGTGACGACCTGGTAAGACATGCAGGAAATCGATGGATGCAGGTGGCTCAGGACTGTGCTTTGTGGCATTCCTTGGGGGAGGCCTATGTTCAGCAGTGGACTTGTGTAGGGCTGTAATGATGATTAGGATGATAATCCAATAATTGGATTAATAATTAATATTAATCTGTCAGTCGGAGGGAAGTGTTTGTTCATACGATAGTCAAACGATTAAATTAAAAAATAAATAAGATGATAAGATATTTGAATATCGCGTCTAATAAAACATTACAATAATCTCGCACTATCAGTAACAGTAGACAGAAGGTATTATATTGATATGATAAATAAATTAAAATATAATATTAAAAGAATACAACTTTTTAATTTTAAAAATTATTATCCTATGATTAGAAACAGTGAGTTAATACACTATCGTCGGTACTTTCTGTATTATTCAAACCTGATATAATACTATATACAGTCATATTCCGATAAGTACCCGTTTCTCATCAATTTTGACCTCCATTACGAACTATGTTGTCCATAGGCGGACGAATAAAATAATTTAGTCGTTCGATTGGCAGACGACTAGAATCGGCCCACTTTTTTATTTTAAGCGCAAACAACCGCCTATCGATAAATTTAGCGCCACCGAGATTAGACCATAAAACACTATTACACATAGCGGAGGGTTAGACATTAAAGCTGCTTTGTCTTGCGATTCTAGATAAATATTATTTTAACTACTTTTATAATTTTAAAAACCAAACAAAGCACTGTTTGAAAAACTAAGATATGTAATAATTTATAAGGATCTGAACCTTTCAACGGTGTATCTGCAAAGAGAGATATTTTTTCGTAGTCCGACGGGTCATAATTCATCACACCTTGTGCTATAATCTCTTCGTTAGTTAATTCTCTGGCCCACAAAGAGGTTACTACTTCATCTAGGATTAATTGGTCATAGAACACGACTTGCATAGCAAAGTGCATTGGTTGTTTTTCTGGTACTTGAAGACTCAACACTTTAACTACGAGGATATCAAATGGCGGACTTTGAAATGATTCTTTTAATTGAACTTCTGAAGCATATTTTTTTAGATCGGATTTATTCTGCAATCAAAATAGTTAGATGATGAATTACATACTTAAGTAGAGACAGTGAATAAAGGCAATTTTGGAAAGTAAATACTTTTCCTCTCTTCATGTTCTATTACAAAATTTGTGTTCCCCTTTAAAAAGACTTGGGCTTAAATTACGATCATAGAACTCTTTTACTTCTAGCGGAGAGATTATTGGCTTATTTTTTATACAAAATAAAATTAGACTTTTCATTTCATTACTTATGCATCTACTTGTCATATTGATTTATAGCGAACTGCAAACTGCCAGTTAACACGTAGTGATTATATACTCTTTGGTTTTGGCTACCAGTAAAACATTCTTTCAATTATTATATAATGCAAATTCGTTTGATTTATAAAAAGCCTGATTTACACGTATCATTAAATATATTAATACTAGCTGGCGATTACCATAGAGCAACACGGGCCACCGGCGAACAGTGGGCGGAAACGATCAAAACTACGCGCGAGGCAGTATATCTAATCCAAATGAAACCATTTTATTAAATACTCGTAATTATGTCTGCTTTCTTGTAGCACTGCGGAATTTCACTTTTTAGGGGTAGAAACCACCCCTATCAACCCCTAAGTAGACTCATCATCATCATCATCATCATTACAGCCCTTCACAAGTCCACTGCTGAACATAGGCCTCCCCCAAAGAATGCCACAAAGCACGGTCCTGAGCCACCTGCATCCATCGACTTCCTGCATATCTTACCAGGTCGTCACTCCATCTCGTGGGGGGACGCCCTACACTTCGCCTACCGGTACGAGGCTGCCACTCGAGAACCTTTCTAACGCAGAATCTGGTGGTTTAGTCTAAGTAGACTAAACCACCAGATTCTGCGTAAAACGAGTTCGATCAACTACATATTTATAAGGAAATATATATATAGTTCATTTTCACATACCCTTACAACCTCATAAACTACCCCTAACAACCCTCAAGCAGGCTAAGGGTGCGTACAAATTAAGTAACATGTTGCGTAACTTTTTATAATATGCCTTTTTTTATAATATGCGTAACGTTTTATAACTCGTCCACATTATGTAACATTGTTTTTCAACATTGCAACATTTAACAATAACATACCCATTATATAACATAACATGTTATAAAACATAATGTATTGTTGTATGTTACAATGTTGAAAAATAATGTTACATAATGTGGACGTGTTATAAAACAAAAGTTACACAACATGTTACTTAATCTGTACGCACGCTTAGAATAACAAAACAATATAACAATGTTATATGACATTGTCGTATGACATTGTCGTTTGTCGTTGCCCCACGCGACGTCTCTGTCGCATCTTGAGTTATATAACATTTGTGTCGCGTTATATAACATTAATAAACATGTTATATTATATAATGTGTACGCACTGTAACACACCTAACTCTGGGTAGAGCGAATTTAATCAACTACTTTTCTATAGACAAATTGAGATTTCAACTACAGATAGGCTAACCCACCTTAATCTTCACATACTTCGTTCCCACATACCCTTAAAACCTTAATAACCCCTAACCTAACCTAACCATGCTATATTTGCTTATAAATATGTAGTTGATCGAACTCGTTTTACCCAGAATCTGGTGGTTTAGCCTGCTTAGGGATTGATAGGGGTGGTTTCTGCCCATAAAAAGTGAATTTCCGCAGTGCTACAAGAAAGCAGACATAATTACGAGTATTTAAAGAAAAAATGTTTTCATTTGGATTAGATTTACTGCCTCGCGCGTAGTATTGTGCCACTGTGCGGCGGACCAGAGGGAAGTAGTCACAGCGTTATTCCCTGATACCACTGATCTCCATGTACACTAGTACAACAGTTTAAAGACCTTACAGTTGGGAAACGAATGTTCTTGTACAGAGCAACGGTGGGGGTACTGCGGGGCAGGGGGCGGGCTGAGCTTGTGCTATCGCACTTCGCAGAGTCTGATAGAAAATACATGCGGTTAGCGGCAGCGTGTTTTATTGTACTTATTTAACTAATTTTAAATGCCGTTTTCGAAAAATCTAATATCTAAAATTAAATTACTTAGATTTTAATATTTATTGTTGTTTTTTGCTTAAGTTCAGTTATTATCAGTTTAGAATACATTGCCTCGCGAATACACAGTCATAATATTGTCGTGAATATACAATAAAGATTTTTTGTAAGATGTTGACACAGTTGATGTTGTATGAGATATAAATGACTATAAATTAATTCATTATTTTAAAATTTTTGCACGACGTGTGGTCAGAATCGAAATTAAGTTAAGTGTAATGCAGCTTTTCGCAGGTTTCCAAGAAAAAAATATGAAAATACTGAGGTAAGTCTTTAAATATTTTAAATGTATTGACCGTTATTTGTAAGGATTATTACTATATTGACTCAAATTTTATCTGGTACAGATCATTTATTAAGGGTTGAGTTAAGTATGTGAAGAATAACTCTGATAATAACATATATTACATATAAATAACATGCGTGGAAATATTATGTGCAAAAGCAATATAAAACATCAATATCAATATATAGTTTAAAAAACAATAAGTCTTTCAGAAAATTTAATTACATAGCTATACCTATTTAAAGTTTTATTTTATCCCACATGCTATGAATCAAATGTATGGAAATTTACCGCATAGGTTTGTGAGGCTTGGGTCAAAATTATTCGAATATGCCTTAAATATAAAGATTAAAGTTAGAAAATACAAAGCTTTGAGATTCACACGAAAAAGGTTTCATATAGGCGCCCAATGTGGCGCTAGAAGTATAAACTTATAAACGCGTTTTTGTTTTTTTTAGTTTGAAGATGGCGTTCTTCTCTCGGTAGATAGTAATTGTATTCTGTGATACATAACCAATGGTGAAACCTGAAACGAAACTAGTTGCAGTACCGCGTATATATTTTTAAATTAAATATTAGAAAATAATTAATAGTTATGGAATTTTTGAATTTTCGAACTTATTAACAAACAGTACCTGCAAGTGCTTATTTTTACTGTAATTTGGTAGATCCATGTTGGAGCTATATTATGATTGTAGCCATAGCTGGGCATCGTTAAACAAATAATTAACTTCGTTAATCGATAATTCATTACTAAAAAAGTTAACTTCGTTAAATGTTAAAGCGTTGTATTTCGGAATATTTAACGCAAGTTAACATTAATCGTTAATCCGTTAACACGTGATTAAAATTGCATTTTTTATATCGTTGCGCTAATGATCTACTTATAAAAACTGTTGGTTTGGGTTCTGGAAGTTAACAGATTTGAAACAAAAAAAGGCGTGTATAATTGCAGTGTGTAATTTAATCATCTGGCATAATGTGGAAATTGCCCTTCATGAACATTAAAATGTTTTCTTTAGAGGATAAGGGTAACAAACGAGCACACAGTCCACCTGATAGTATGTGGTTGAACCTATAGACATCTATATCTATCCTTGACTATGAATCAAAATGCAGATGCGTTGTCCCCCGTGAGGACTAAAATAGAATGCCTCATTTCCAGTTAAAGGGGGCTGCGATCCTGCGAACATGTCATATGAATATTTTTTAATTATTTTAGAACTATCGTGGTAAAACTTCAGTTTATTTTTGCAGTTATTCAATTTCGTGCACTAAACTTTTTTTATTTTTTTTTACCGCTTCCTTAACAATCATTTTTCGATATTCCTTGTAAGTAAAAGTTACATCACTAATTAATAGAATCAGGCGTTACTTTGCGGAAGTCCATTATATTAAAGTTGGTAAAAAATTACTTCGCGTACATCTGCTCGATAAAATAAAATGATGTGTCTTAACTAGTTTGAAGAGCACCTCCCTCCCTCCCTCAATTGCGTGCACTATTACCGTCACCACTAATCCCAGCATCACTACCATCACTAAACTATGAAAGACACGCCACCGACGACAATACGACACGTGTTCCGCCTCTACACGAGGTATCTTCAGGTGATCTAGACTCTGCGGTGGCAGACCTCACTTAGCGCTCTAGACTCTGCGGTGGCTGACCGCTAAGTGACGTCTGCCACCGCAGAGTCTAGATCACGCGAAGTAATTTTTATCAACTTTTGTTACATCACTAGATAACGCACACTATGACTAATCAAAATTAGTCACGCGTTTTTAGGGTATTAGGTCGTTTATACGCCAATATATTCTAAGTCTATGATGACAACGCACTTGCACTTTATCTCTTAGTTAAGTCTAAGTCACTTTATTTCTGTCTGGGCAACAGCATCCACTTATCATCAAGTGGACTGTGTGCACGTTTGTCAACCTTATTCTATAAAAAATTACGAGGACATGATGCTATGAACAGGCGCAGATTTAGGCATACACGTTGTGAAGTGATTAAGCTTCATTTCCAGTAAAAAGGTTTTTTTTTATATAGAAGAGGGGGCAAACGAGCATGTGGCTCACCTGATGGTAACTGACTACCGCTACCCATGAACAACCCCAACACCAGGAGAATTGCAGATGCGTTGCCGGCCTTTTAGAAAGGTGTAAGCTCTTTTCTTGAAGGTCCCTAAGTGGTATCGGTCCGGAAAAATCGCCGGTGGTAAACAATTCCACAGAGAAGTTGTGCGAGGAAAAACACTCACTACATGAAACACTGCTGGTACTCTGTGCGAGCGTCTTCCTTACTCGGTCGAGGCACATGAGTAAAGAAACTGTATTAAAGCTTCTAAGAAGCTGTCAAAATGTTTACCTATTTTGGTAGGGTTGCCACAGGAGGATAATATCAGCTTTTCAATAGATACTTAAAATAGAATATTTTTTACAAACTACGTATTATTACTAAATATTTTACTTTTATAATTAGTTCTTGAACAATTTGTTGTGGCTTATAATTAGATAGTAAATTCTAAATATATATTTAGAATTTACTATATATAAAGTTTTTTCTTTTAAATAATCTATTCGAAAGCACTCACATTGCATGACAAATATTTAATTTTGCACACGTTTTAATATTTCACTACCAATATATGCAATGTTTCTTTCGAGGTCAAAATATTCACCGAACCCGATTTAACACTATCTGTATTAAAATCCTTGTCGTGGCTGAAAAAATAAT